ACCGAGAGTCGAAACTCGCTCAGTTGCCCCATATCCCTTCCTCACCTCCGTTTGCCACGTTAAACTTGATGCCGAAATCTCCTCCTGGGCCTCCGGGGTTGTGACTGGCGGTGAGGATGATCCCACCGATGGCTTTGATCTTCCTGATGATGCAGGAGACAGCAGGGGTGGACAGGAGGCCATTGTGGCCGATTACCAGGCGACCGATCTGCACATCACAGGCACAGGACCCACATGGATGTTTGGTGAAGTGTTTCACAAAATTTTGCATCAACCACTTTACAGACAACAAATGCTGAGGCTGATACTTAGAATCGCAAAGGCCTAATTTGAGAAATTCAGAAGATGAGGAGAGATGTCAGGAACACATGTTGACAAAGTCAGACAGACATGCTTCAAAAATTGAAAAATTAATTTAGCTATTTAACCACGACTAAAATGTTTACTTCAGTCTGCAAAAATGTTCCACAACTATTAATTAGACAGTTTCATTTAGTCACCAGTCGAGCTGCGCACGAATCGGTGCTTCGTAAAGCACTTTGGAGAGCCTATGGTATAGATAAAGTGCTAAATAAGTGTATTATATTTACCTATTTTGATTAAATTGAATTTGTCATTTTGTGGAGTCGAGTAGACGACAACATGTCTTCATTTTGGATAAAGTACAAGGAATAACCATTGGATTCATTCAGAAGTCATTTGTTACTCTCAACACAATTTAGAGGGCACATCTGAGCTCTAGTTGGGAATTTCTTCATTGTGAGACAAATAAAGGTTTTCTTATCTTATCTTAGTCAGCGTAGATTAAAATGTTAGATTTTCCTCGTCTCGGTGACCACTGGAAATAAAAAGTAGAGGGACCATTTTGAAAATCCAAATCTCTGTGCCAAGTGGAGCCCAAATAACATAGAGGGAGCCACACTATCTATTTATATTTGTATGCTGCTTATATCCCGGTAACGGCATCAACCTCCCATAATAGGCGTGTCCTCACCAGAGAAGCATTTATGCTCCTTAGCGTGCACAGTGTGTATGTTAAGGGATGATATGCGGAACTATGTCGGGACCATCTTGAGTCCTGTCCACTCAAGAGCCCAACCCGAGAAAGAGAGAGAGGCGGAGAGGAACAAACATAACGTCGGAAAATAGAGCAAGATGGATGGAAGCGCTGATAAGACTGACACTCAGAGACATTTGGCTCCAAAACACAATCAGATTCCTTTCAGATGTTCCCTTGGACGCGCTCCAAAGCAATTATAAAGATGTCAGAGCGGAGCTTGGGGGATTTTCTCGCTCACTTCTAGCTTTCATTCTTTGGAGAGCTGTCAAGTTTCCTCGTGTTAACACAAATAATTACTTAATCGGATCCTTTCCGTGTGTCAAAAGTGGTGCAGCAGCCGGAATTGTAACACCAGAGTCGGATTAGCAAGCAACAAATTCAGGCTACCCATTTTGCAGCTGCCCTCTGCTCTATTTTAAATGCAGTGGTGCCTTGACTTATGAGTGACCCAAATTGTGAGTTTTTTTGGGATACAAGCCACCACTGTCATTTTTTTTCCTTGTGTGTGAAGCAATTCTTATTATCATTATTATTTTACTATTATTATTTTTAAATCCACTGCTAGATATCCATCTATCCATCCATTATCCGAACGGCTTATGCTCAAGAGTGTCGCGGGCGTCCTGGTGCCATTCCCGGCTGGCTTTGGGCAGCAGGCGGAGTTCACGCTCAACTGGTTTCCAGCCAATCGCAGGGCACACATAGACCAACGACCACTCATGCTCACACTCACACCTGGGGACAATTTAGAGTGTTCCATTAACCTGCCATGCATGTTTTTGGAATGTGGGGGGAAACCGGAGTACCCGGAGAAAACCCACGCAGGCACGGGGACAACATGCAAACTCCACACAGGAAGGCCGGAGCCCCGATTCGAACCCATGACCTCTGCGCCTTGAGGCAGATGTGCTGACTGGTTAACTACCGTACCGCCCACCGCAAGTTAGTGGTACAGAATATCACAACACCTAGCAGTTATTCTTTGAAAAAGGCAAACATCCTTGCTTGAAGATGACTTTCCCAAATGAAGGTTACTCTAAAATGAATCTTGCTTGAGTTACCAAAAACCACATCATTCAAGTTGTTCTTGTGATATTCTGTTGGACACCATCATCAACACAAAACACCATCCCAAACTCCTACTCGATAACAAATACAATTTGAAAAGAAAAATGCTAGTTTACTGCACTGTCCTTGATTAACAAATGTAGGACAAGTTGCCTGTGCTAACTGATCACATCAGAGTCTGTGCTCACGCTTCAGACCAACCCGACAAGCCAAAAAGCCTGCAATACTTCACCCAAGCAAACGACTGTGGTTACATCATCGCCAAAGTTCTAATCACTCCCTTTTCAAAAATATGTGCTTTTACTTTTCAAAGGCCCTGTAAAGTGAATTAGGAAAATTGTTGCACCCTCACCATTTGAGAGGGGTGATCAGGGCTTGATTTTTCACAATTCTGAAGCATCATATTATATGATTATTTTTTTGTTTTAATCGTTAAAATTTGACATGATAAGTGGTACAGAAAATGGATGGATGAACAAAACTCTGTGGTGTGTCATAGGCTATGGCAGACACCTTCCTTATCAATTTACAAATATGCTTTTATATGCAAATATAATATTGCTTCAAATATATTTAACATCAGAAAATTACTTTTGATACTGTAGAATAATGTACAGCAAAAGTCCGACACATTAAGACATTTACTTAGGTAATGTTATACAAGGTGACTAACTTCTACACAATTTATGTTCTGCGACGAGACTTGGACTTTGACATAAGTATCGTTTTCCGATTCCAAAACCGCCTCTTCCCGTACTCACTCCATTGGCGGCTGCCATCTGGACGATCACCTCGATTGCCCCACGGCTCAGGTAACGTCCGTCGCTGCCCACCACCATGGTGCAGCCCTGCCGGTCCCGGAGGTCCATAGAGGACAGGACGCTCTGGATGTAGTTCTGCAGGTAGTTCTTCTTCCCCTCGAACACGGCCGTCTTCCTCCGGAGCCCGTTGGTACCGGGCCGCTGGTCGTCGAAGGGGGTAGTTTGGACCGTCACCACCGGGATGGGGCTCGTCTCCATCGTCGAAGCGGGAGAGGGTCCAACAAGAAAAAACAACCGGAGAAGGTGGCTTGCTAGTGGCGGGGAGCGCTGGGCACGGAGACGTCCACACCGGAGAGCTGCTACATCTCTCGGAACAGAGTCAATGTGACAGACAGCTCCCCGCTCTTCCTAATGAGCAGGAACAACTGACACTGGCGGGGGGGGGGAGAGCACTGGGAGGGTCCAGAGCACAAATAAAAATAGACTCTGACTGATGATGGCACTGGACAGTTGGGACTGTAGCAAATAACATCCAGTTTAAAAGCATCGCATAGTTAAATACTCAAATTATATACATTTATATAAGTGCACGATTGTGATAGTAACCTTGCTCTTTATCATTATTTGATCAAGTCTCACATAATAAATCGCCTAAACATATTTTTAATATGAACTTTGATATAAGCATGTAACCGAATACTTCAATTTAGCGATTTCCCATTAAAAAAAAAGAAAAAAAATGCTCAGCAACAAGCAACAGTTGGTCAATGACGGCCTCTAGTGGCAGAATGACGTAAATTCTTCACTAATGCACTCCTCGCTTCTGTATGTCAGCACACATTTCCATAATGCAGAAGATGACATTCATTTTGCTGACATTATAATTGTATGTGAGAAAATTTAGAACATAGATAGAGATGTTGTTTGGTTTGATGGATAATAGATACAGTAGTGATAGCGATGGATGGGTGGCTGCCATGGGGACTTGGAAGGCAGCAAAAACACGACTACAGATTTAGAGAGGCAAGATATTCCCCATCCATGAGCAAATTAATAAAATGGAAAAAAAAATATCAGTTGAGTCCAGATAACTTTTTTTTATTGTCGCAATGACAAATTGTTCAAAACATTTATTGTACATAGCAAACAGAAAAACGCATGTTCATGTTTACATTTTTGCATTCAAGTACATTTCAGCCTGCACATTTTTCTACTGAGATAAAGATCAGATATTTCAACTTAATGAGAGTAAGCAGAGTGTGAGTACTTTTGACAGCTCCACAAACAGACATAACATAAATGACAAAGCAACACAAAACTGTATTTTCACAACTGCAATATTTATTTGAGGGGAGAATTATAAAAGCAACAGTCCACGATCAGCACATTGCTGAATTAACCCTTTTATTATTTTATCCGCTCAACTAATCAGCAGAGCACATTAAGAAAGCAAATAATCAGTTTCGAGGACGCTAGATCCTAGCAATGAAATAATTACAAAACCATCAAAAAACAAAACAGTGAAGTAAAGGTAATTTTCCTTCACCATTTTGCCATGATGCCCCCCATCCCTCCAATCAAGTGACACCTCAATTTAAAGCTCGTTTTAAAAACTACTCATTTTTGTTATAACCAACCAAAAGAATTTTACAATGCTAACTTTTTGTATTGCTTCTTAAGTGGGTAATGCACACCTATGATACTGTTGAATTATTATTATTAATATACGTATATTGCCTGAGCCAGTGCCGATCAATGTTGTGCGTGGGCTCCCTCCAATGGGAAGCGAAAGAATTGTTACCTTAGTTCAGTTGCATTTAATACAAATAGGTTCGCACATAAAGTTGAATAACTGTTTGTATTTACGCATTTCGTTAGGTAGACTTGTAACTAATTTGCGCTGTACATTGTATTTGAATTGTTATTTAAGGACACTTTCCCCCCCCAAATGATTAAGCACATCGTGAATGTTCAAACTGTGCATAATGTTAGTTACTTAAAATAACATTAAAAGTGCACTTCCAATCAAACATTCTGAAACAAAGCACATCGTGAATGTTCAAACTGTGCATAATGTTACAGTTACTTAAAATAACATTAAAAGTGCACTACCAATCAAAAATTCTGAATCACTTAAAAGTTTTTGCATGCTAAGTGTCTCAAAACATTTAAACTGGTAGTGTACTTCCAGTCTGACGGTGGTACCTGGAGAACAAATCTTTTTGGGGGGGTAAAAAGTTCTTAAACTATGTAGGAATTCCTTCGAGATTAAGTCAACATAAATATCATGCAACACAAATATTTCTTTAAGAAATGAGCAACACGTGTCTTAAATAATGACACAATTTAAAAATAATAACAACACATAAGCAGAATAACAAACTAATAGTAATAACAACACCTCAGGTGTGTGGGTATAAACGTCTAAGTTGTTCACTGATGAAAGGGGCATCACCCAGCATGGCAGAAGGTCCAAAAGGAGTTCTGGAGTTCTCCACGAGTGTGGGGACGAAGCAGGCCACGTGGTTCGACATATAACGATGAGGGAGGGGGTTCTGATGGGAACCCCCGTTAATAGGAGCCGGTTTACTCATGATAGAGTCTATACTGAAGGAACACTTGGCTTGCGCGCCACGACTGGTGCGCTCGGTGGTTTCTGTAGTTCTGAAGTCTTTGGGTCCAGTGCCTTGGGTCCGAGATTGCGGCAAAAAGTGATAGGACGAGGAAGGCATCGTGACGCCATCCCGTAGTGGCGCATAGCCCACAGCGGCCGGGGTGACGCGCCCCTGCACCGTGTACGGGTGCCCGAAAGGCCGGCAATAGAAAACGAATCCATTTTTCCCGAAGTCGGGCTGATTTCTCTTGAACCGCTTCCTGCGCCTTAGGAAGCTGCCATTGTCGAACATGTCCTCTGAGGCCGGGTCCAGGGACCAGTAGTTGCCCTTGCCGGGGTTGCCCGGCTCCCTGGGGATCTTGATGAAGCAGTCGTTGAGGGACAGGTTGTGCCGGATGGAGTTCTGCCAAGCAGGGAACTTCTCCCGGTAATAGGGGAACTTGTTGCTGATAAAGTCGCAGATGCCGCTCAGGGTGAGCTTCTTCATGGGGCTCTGCAGGATGGCCATGGTGATAAGGGCGATGTAGGAGTAAGGGGGCTTCACCAGGCTCCCACCACCGGCCTTCTCGGAGCAGAAGCCGCTGTCGCTCTCCGCGGAAGAGTCCGCCCCTGAGGAGTCCAATTCGGCCCCGACCCCCAGGTCGGTGTAACGACTCGCGGGCTCGGGCTCATCCTCACCCACGATGTCGATCTCGTCTTCCTCCAGAGGCAACTCGGCGTGTGTGGAAGAGTCGTATTCGCCGGAAAGTGTCATGGCAAAGTTCACAAACGTTCAAAATCCCCAACCCCCTAAAAATGAAGCACGACGCGCCGTGCATAAAAACCCAAAGCACTCGTGCGTAAAAGTGCCTGTGCTCGTCCACCTCTGCTGTGACCGGAGGTAAGAAGCTTTATAAGATGGGAGGCTTTTACCCAGCAGGGTAGACCCACCCGGGGTGGGGGTCCTGTGGACCTATCACAAGATCCCCCACCACAGCGGGATTCCAAAGGAGGAGATCGAACAGGTGGGGGAGTCAATCTACTCAGGCAAACGTTAGTTAATATTTAAATCTCTATGCATTTCCGAATGGGACTCGTCCGAGCACTGGTAAAGTGATATTATAGACTTGACGCGCCACTCATTTGGAGCTTACACATTAGCATTATCGACTATCAGAAATTAACAATGATCCCCCGTGAAGTTAGTTGACTTTAGTTGTATTATTGCTATCGTGTATAATTCACATAAACCATAAATACTCTATACCGTATTGTATTTTGATTTAAGAAGTTCTTCATGTTTAAGTAAATGTATTGGTAAAATGAGTTATATATTCTACGTACATAAATTAAGACTTCCTGCTTTACTTAAAAAAATCTCTGTCAATAAAATAATCTGTGATATCGGATAAAGACGTTCATATTTTATAGTTCATCAGAAACTAATGTATATCTAATGTACATAATACAATATGTTGCTGGTCCATCTCACCTCGAAACTAAACCTAAACAAATAGTCTTCGCTATAAATGAAAGAGCTATACAGTATGGATAACATATATTTTCAATGTAATAGTAAGAATATATTAACGCTCTTTATATTATACAGCTCAATATAATGTCCGTGCAGTCTTGCATCAAACAAAACACTAAAATAAAAATTTTATTTTATGATTTAGTATTTTAAAAACTCATCAGCAAAGTTCCTCCCCACTCCCACCGCGGGTTCGTTTCGTTTGCTACCTAGGGATGCCCGCGTGTCTGGGGGGTGGGTGTGACCATGATAATGGCCGTGGAGGGACGCCCTGCCGGGCAGTGCAGAAAATAAAGCCAATGGCCGCTCTAAACGAGGCCAATCAGCATCAGAATCGAGTAGGAAACGGCCACAGCTGCACTGTGCCGCTCGGCTCAACCCAGGCAAGGGCTCGGGGGATTTACGACTCGGCCTTGAATAAAGCGGGAGCTATCATCAAAGCAAAGTGAGCGGATATGTGCTTAAAAACAAAACAAACAAAAACTACATCTCCATTGCAAATGAGCAGAGCTGGGAAAACTCCACCCACTTCCTCACCTGACCTGTGCGCGTTAGCGCGTGCGTGTGAGAAGGCTAATGGTTCTCACATGATAGCAGCACAGCACAGTAGCTTCAAACGGCACCAAATATCAAGTATGGCGTGTACAGACTTAATTTAAGGTGAAAGCAGCAACAAGTCAGCACGGACCTGTTAATCATTTAAGCGCAAGTCCATAATGAGAGGCAAAGAACGAGCTGACTTCTGCACATGGGTGTGTTTTTTTAGTGCTTTTTAAAATGCATTTGCTTAGAAATTTCTCATTGGGTTGATCAGACAAACTTTTAAATGTTAATATACTTTATAAAACGAAAAAGGAAAAGAAACAGGGATTCAATGCCCGCTGAGATGGATAAAAACGGGTGTATTTTGCCGCTTAATTAATATTCTACAAACGCAATATATGTTACCTCATAAAAATGTAGGCTACAATATGCCGTGAAATAAAATTTATATTATTGATAAATTAGTTTTAGGATTTACAAAAATCATGTAAAATAAAAACATTGTTTTGTGTGGAGGAACATTTTCAATAAAAATAGTCTGCATAATTTTCATGAGGAAAAAATAACATACAACAAATATTCATGTTTTTGTGTGAAAAGAATACTATGTGTATATGCAAAATCCAAATATTTGTTTTTGGTGTGAAGGGGGGGGGGGAACAGCATTTGGAGATGCATGATTTTCATTGTGAAATCTACATTCTGAATAAAAAATACAGTCTTTTAATCTGTGTTACGTGTAACTTCCATTGTATACACAAGTAACATCATATTACTAATATTATTATCATTGTTGTCAGGCGCCACTTTTCCAAATTTCAGGACCTTTACCATTAGCGAACCTCTGGCATGCTGCTTCACCTTGAGTGACTCCATGAAGCGTAATCTGTCTCTTCTTGATCGAGCGAAATCAGAAGACTTGTTGTAGAATTGGCTCAATTCCAGGAAAAGAGCTTCCGATTATTTGTGTTTTTGTTGCACAGTGGAGATGAATTGTTGTTGGAGAATCTCTTTGTCCAAGTTTCTTCCTTAGAAACAGCACAGACAGAAATTGTCATCACATGGGCGTATGTTACCACGACGGTGTCAAATCAGTGATATCAGCCTGTGGTAATTATTTATAAGAGACATAAAAATCTAGAAATGCGTGAAAAACCTGTTGACATTTACGAGCCACCTTGTAAAATTGATTTTTTTTTTTAACCCAACAAATGTTCAGTTCAACTGCCTGCTGAGCAGCACTGTAATCGTTATTCCAAAAGGAACTTCTACATATCATTCAAATGGGTCCATAAGATGTCACGTGAATTTCTTCCCTGGTCCTTGTTAGTGATAAAGATTCATGCGTGAACGACCACGTTACACATTAGCTGCATTTAGTGAACATTAGCAAGTGTAGCTAGCTTTCACGCAAGTGAATGAAGGGAACATGCGTGAAAAGCAGTGTGTGTATGCGTGTATTAGGCTGTGTAAGTTTCTTTACCTATAAAGACCAGCCGGCTGATCCTCGGCTGCTCATCCCAAAGCTGGGGAGTCTCATTAAGCTCATACAGTTCGTGGACCCCCTGTAGCATGACTTGGTGGGCTTTGGCTGCCAGCGACACCATTCCCTAGGAACACACGCGTCACACGATACTAGTGACAGATTAACCCACGGTGAAAGAAAAGGGCCCGGGACCGTTAAATGCAGATAACAGAGCAGGTTATTGATGGCAGCCCGCCACCGAGGCGACTATTGTGCTTTACTGTACCTTTAAGCGGATGACAGTCATGGGTTGCCCTTCTTTGTTTCGCAGCGTCTTTTCCCAGAGGAGATCCTGCAAAATGTGTGGAAAAAAAAAAAAAGAAGAGAAGATTTACTTTCTCAAAGGGGTGCATTGTGAGGGAGATAATTGGGGAATGGGAGCGGGGATGCAAAGCCGAGGATCACCACATGGGTTTGTACCTGAATGAAAACATTCAGCGCATCTTCTGAAAGACTTCCCGCCACTTCAAAGGTCACGGTTAAAATACTCTGACAATAGGAGAGGATTCATTTTAAAACAAATGACACAACATTGTGTCATTTTTTTTCCTGCATTCAATGACATAAATACACAGTAGCCACAAAATTAGGTACACCGTCATGAGATCAAACGCAAGAGCCAGATTATGAAAAGTGCTGAGCGAAAGAAAATTCAACAATGATAAATAAACGCCATGGTTGCAGTGTTGGGGTGAAACCAGTATCATAGAGTGCAACTATTTTGACAATGGTGTAAAATGAAATTTGACTTATGATTTTTTTCCACCTGGACAGAGCAATAATAAAGTTGTAATCTTACAACAAAGGTAAAATCATTAAATCACAACTTTATGCTTGCAGTTAGCAGTTTCCCTCTTTAGTTTTAAACTTGTCCAAATGGTCCAAATGTTGCAACCTGTCAGTGTACAGTATGTCTTGTAGAATTGTTGTTATGCCAGACTTTCAAAGATTCATGTTCTACTTTTTAATTCACAGAGGACAGTGGAATGAAAAAGCCAATAGGACGGTTAAACTAAAGACACCCCGGCTGATGACGTTGTCAATGATCATGTCGAAAACCACATCTCCACTCGGCACCTCTCCATCTGCGTACAAAAGCCTGATCTAGCCCACCCTGCATTCGCCGCCGACTTCTCACCCTCCCCTCTAAACTTCCTTGTGGCACTAAAAGGGCACTTTGCAGATGTTTGCTGTTTTTGTGTTGAAGTGTTAAGGTTACACACTTCCTTGTCATTTGGTATAACAACAGAAAAACAGCCGTCCCATTTACATGAAAAGAGCAAAGGGTGGGGAGGGGTGGCGTGTGTTGCGGGGGGTAACTTGAGGGAGGGTTTAAGCTTCATGTGGGAAAAGGGAACGTGGAGCAAACAGACGACAATAGCGGCATTTACACACACACACACACACACACACACACACACACACACACACACACACACACACACACACACACACACACACACGCGCGTCTCATCTGCGTCCGTCCTGTGGTAAAACTGAATGGGCATGAAACAAAAGAAACCAAATTGCGTTCATGGGCCATTTCAGCTAATTTCAAAAGAAAACGCCTAATGGAGAAAGCCTCAAAAATATATTTGGAAAATGACAAATTCCATATTGAACTGTATGGTTAAATATCATCTTTAAAAAGGTAATATGGTCTAACTTTTTTGAAAATTGCAGAGGCGTGTCAAAGTGAGTCTATTTGTAACATAATACAAAAACAACAACATCAAACGCTTTCAAGTTGATCACCATTAAAAAAAAAAAAAAAAAAAAAAAAAAAAAAAAAAAAAGCAGGGGAGGGAGTTTTCACGGTGGTGTCGCCGCCCAAGGGGATGCGAGGAAGTTTTGGCCCTAAGGAGAACGAATTCCCTTAATCTCGCGGGAAACGATGTGTCGAAAGAAATTAGCAAACAAAATACAAAGGTGAAGGGAGTGAATTAAAAAAAAAAAAAAGTAAGACGGACAATACCTTGTCAAGATGAGGTCTGCTCGGTTTCACAACATTCAACTTCTCTGCTAGACTGTCAAGAGGAGAAATATGATTTCCATGTGATCTTTTTCTGATCTTGGTGTCTTCCATATATTCGTACAGTAAAACAGTGAGATCCTTCTATGTCCTCAATTTGTTCAGCTCGCATCAGAAGTGCTGTCGCCCATTCAAACAATACATTTTTTTTTTTAACAGCTAACAGATTCAAAACTGGCATTGCTTTGGTCATTTGTTTATATGACAACAATTTTTTTCCACCACGGGTCTCAAAGTGGAAGTTTTTGAGAACAACAGGTCACAATTTCCATCGTGGGAGGAGAAGCAATCCATGCACATGCGTGTATTGTTTTTCTTGCAGAATGTTGTTTTGAAGCTTTGTGTGAATAGGGATTGTTAAAATAAATAAATAAATAAAACCAAGCACAGTATTTTTGCTTCTACTCCTAGCCCATAGGTGACGGTAATGCCCATGACAAAGATCGTGCCAACAGCCACACAAGTCAGGCGTGATTCACCGTCGTGCTAATGAATGATACAATTTCCTCCATTTCAAAATAATGAGTGCGCAGATGTTCACTGTGCCCAAAGAATTACAAGTGAAACTTTCAGAATAATTGTTTTGGCAGGAAAATAAATCGTATCTCTGCTTTCCTCAGCTGCGGGTTGCTATATAGTATATGCCCCCCCATGCTCCAGTATAATCAGTGCTTAACACCACCTCCCCTCAATGGACTTGTAAAAACTTAAGAAATGGCAATTAAAGCCGACAAAACACCCACTGCAGCCACCAAACAAACTCGGCCCATTGTTCTCTCCATCGGGCCTCGCCTCCTCCCAGTCTTGCTGACCTCACAAGTGTTGCGCCCAGCAGTTTGAGCCTGATGCGCTGTTAGTTAGTACCACACAGGCAGAGCGGCGGGGGGGGATCCGCTTCAAACAGCCAATGTGGGCCCCAGGGAGACGTAGAGGGTCGCCCCCCACCCCACACCTTCTCCCCGACTTTTTAAAGCGAGGGGGAAAAGAGCTATCTGTTGGAAAAGGGTGGGGGGGCTCCTCAGGAGCCAGTGGACACACACGGCTCTAATCCTCTGCAGCTGGCCTCACACATATTGACCGAGGGCATGTAAGAGAGTTTTAACACCGCGGACCGTTTCATTCACATGAAGGGATGAACACTGACTCTATTCAAGAGAATGTGATTCTACCAGAGGGGAAAAGGGGGACACAATATGATGACCACCGCGGGGTGTAAGTGGGGGGGGGGGGGCCTCAATAAAAGATTCTGTTAATTAAAAAGAAACACGGCGAGCAACACTGTTAAAGGCTGTTGGCTACACGCTTCGGACGGACGAGCAACAAAAGGCCGTCGAGGCAGAACGCTAATATCATTGTAACCTAGCAACCGGCCCAATAACAAATAGCATGGCGGTTTACGCCCGTCAGCCGCTTCATTAGGTACACTGGCATGTCTTGTAATAACGTAATGATAATGTAACATGATTCGCATAAAAGACAATTTTGTCTTTTGATTATACAAATCTATTCACATTAAATTAAGAGTTCTATTGAACTTTTCCCTTCATCTTCGTAAAACTTTTTTCTACGCTTCTGTTTTTTTCCTGAAAACTTGAAATCAGATAAAATGCAAATATTTCTCTTTGTAATGCAACCACTTTATTCTTGAATTTTAGGGGTTGCAATTGTTTTCTTTTTTGAAGTTTATGGGGGGGCTTTCACCATGTAATATTTTATTATACAGTTTTGTTCCCATCATTA